GAGAGAGAGAGAGAGAGAGAGCACTAGCTCAAGTATTTATAGTGAAAGTAACATTAAGTATAGAGCTACATGACTAAAATGAATTAAAAATACAATGACTCAATGACCCTTCAAATTGCCTTATAGAGCTTAACACATCTTCTAAGTGAACTTAGCAGTGCAGAATAACTATTGATGAGCTAGTGTAGGCTTGTCTACTAGCCAATCCTGAATAGAGGAAATTAATGTTTGTAGGCATCCCAAAGTCACTAGTGGCTGAGTTTTGTTCGCCTTGCAAAATGAGAGGTAATTAAACTTGTGTTGCAAGGTAGGCAAGCTCCATAGTCTGTTAATTAAGGGTGAGTTGAGGGCCTATTGAATAAGCACCATCATTGTAATGGAGGCGGTGAGTTAGATCAACAACTTCCCCTTGCTATAGCAGAGGGCAAAGTAGTGTTGATGGTGAGTTCTTCATTAGATTCAAATGGTGACTTAGATTACTTGCAAGGATATTATATTGTTACATGGTAAGCAAATTTCTATTAAAGCATTTATAGAGTTATATATCATGATCTTCCGGTGAGCTCCTAAATGGGAAAAATTATTCTGTACTAGGATCGTCTGGAGATGAATTAAAACGTGCCACATCATCTGATATACAGCAATACACAACTGCGGTACACAACAAAATATAATGTAACATATTCTGATTTACCTCAGGACGATGTCTGCATTCTCATAGAATAATTTTACCCTATATGGACCCACAAAATGTGAGCTCTTCTATCATGACCTACTAACTACCTAGTAAATACTTTAAAATATATATACAAGTACACAACAACAATGCATTCATAAACAATGTTTTTGCTCTTGTATTTATATACAATAATCTAACATGATTTGAAGTTCCAAAATTTTGCTAATATTTTAGTTGAGCTTTGGTTATTGAACAATTGTTGCTAATAACCAATTGTTATTATCTTGAAAAAATTGAGGAATTTGATCTTGAATAAAACTTTTCTTGCCTAATGGTGATGAAGCATTCTATTATGGTTTAGACCATAAGTACTGGTTGATGTGCTCACCAATCACCTATGTTTTTTTTTTTCTTTTTTCCGATCAAAAATTATATATTCTTATGTTCCAATATAACATTCAAAAAAATAATTATAAAATAATTATATTAATATATATGAATTATTAAATTTACAAAAATTGTTCATAAACATCATA